CAAGATCCAAGATTTCAGAAAACTCTTGTCCAGAAATCTTGGATCCACGGATCCTACACCCAAGATCCATGGATCCAAGTAGGATCCCTGGATCCAAGATTTCTGGACAAGAGTTTTCAGAAATCTTGGATCTTGGATCCGTGGATGAGCTGTTCAGACTTGAGAATCTCAAGTCTGAAATCCCAAGTCTAAATTTGTCTAAGTACAGTACAGAGCATCCTTTGTCTCCAAACTTCCATGTGTTTATGCCCGCAGCAACCTGCTCGAACGTGCTTCAACTGTCTCTTCAACTGTCTGTCTGGACACTATGGCCATTCCTGTGAGCGGCAGCGTCACTTTGAACGGCAGTCAAGCTGTCGTGGTGCTCGATGTCGGTGCTCAGAACGCACCAACCACAGCGGGAGTTCCTTTGCAGATCCTGCTGCAGAAAATTATGGACGGACAAATGCCTATCCATGAATCAAGGCTACCCGTCCTCAAGAAGCATTTGGCGGCCATGATCTGCAATGTGCAGCGTGGCCTCAAATTAGCTCCTGTGGGGCTACTTGGTGCATGGTCCAAGGAAGCGGAAAGCAGATTGTTGACTTTGCTCAAGAAGCCTAAAATGGTGCGGCCACCCGCCGCATGATCGCATATATGTCGCAGGTTGAATGACCTAATTGCAAGGACTTGAGAGCAGTGATTCGGTTCGGTTCGTCTAAGGTCTATGCTTTGGAGGACAAGAAGGACACATCGCCGTAAAGGACCTTGCTTTAGCTGCTGCAGCCTGTACGACCTGTCATCTTCGGATTCTTCTTCCACGAGCTCCTCGGGGTCATCTTCGGAATCTTCGGACGCAGGCGATGAGCCAGGGCCCAATCAAGGCATCATGGCAGAAGCAGATGACACGCATGAGGGTACTCCGAATCCTGCACTGGGTCCTCCCAAGGATGCAGAGTTGGCGGGACCGAATCCTGCACTGGGCCCTGCCAAGGACGTAGAAACGGACTTCTCAGACACAGATGTGGTTGAGCCACCTGCAAAATGTGCCAAATGTGAGCGATATTTGCAACTCCAGTATGATTTTGATTCGCTTGCAGATTCCCACCAAACCATTTCCGATGCCCTCGAAGTTGCTGAAGAAGAGAACAAGCAGCTGAAGGCGCTGCTGCTCGGGCAGCAGGGCCAAAGTGGGAGGTGAATGTTTGCTTGAGCTTTGCGGCCGGTGCAAAAAAAAAGATGCTCGTTACAGTAGACTGTTTGTGCAAAGATAAACTATAAACCATGTACAACTTTAGATTTGCTGCTCATTGTTCAGACTTGAGATTCTCTGTTCAGACTCGAGATTCACTGTTCAGATTTGAGATCGGACATGCGTTATCACATAACTCTTCCAATTCACAAGCCGTAGTACTTGTATCTGTCCTCTGCTGACTCATGTGCACCTTGTCCTCATTAAATTCACGTTCGCAATATGTTCTGCTCTGCATAGTTCTCGTTGCGGTCTTGGCATCCTAACATCTGCTTCCGCAGGCTATGGCTGCCTTTGTCGACGAGGCCATGAAGGAGTACGGCGGCAAGGAGTGGCAATATGACATGCAGACAGCGCCATGTTACACCGTCAAGCATACGACGGACATTGAGGCCCCTTTGACTGTCGCAGATCTTCTGAGATGCTGTCGCCCACCAGCAGGCGTCAAAAGCGCAAACCTGCTTCTAGATGCGCGTCTCTCCATAGCAGATTGTGGAACTCCTGAGAACATTGCCTCGGCTGTGCAGAACCAACGAGTCGACGAGCTACCTGCCGCTTTACAATTTGCAGAACCTTTGCCAGAACAAACCAAAGTTGGATGCATTGTGGCTGCAGATGGCCATGGGCGCCTAGATGTGATCAAGATCATCTTCTTTGAATCGAAAATGCTTGTGAGCCAGGTGATCAAGAAGATTTGCGGGTCCCCGTATCTTACCTTCCATCGTCAAGGGCCTTGGGCTGTCAGGAAGGCATTCCAGTCCTTGCTCGATAGAGTGCCAGGACATCATGTGCAGTGGGCCAAAGTGTGCCGGAAAGTGACAGTCTCTACCAAATCTATCGCAACGGCCCCTATATGGGCTCCTGATGATACAGAGTTGCTGCAAGGTATCTCTTTCATCAACGAGAATGCCCCGGAGTCCGATGCCCATAACGAACAGTACGCCTGGATCTTGATGAACATCAAAGAAGACTCAGACAGGCCCATTGCAGGCTGGCCGGAAGGCAAAGTGAGAATCATGGCACAGAACAAGACGAGGGCAGCGGGAATTCCCATTGACTACCTTCTCTCTAAAGCCCATGCTGTCCGATACAATCTTGCCAGCGCTGTGCCCTCTCTTTGTACGCTATGGAGTCTTGTGCCTTGGATGGCCTGGTGTGGGTAAGACCCCGGCATTGATTGCTATGCTGTTGGCAATGGGTCGGTACCACATACGCCGGCTGCAAGAAGAAGGTGTTCCTGGATGGCGGCGGGCTAAATCTCTAGACAACTTCAGGCAGTACATTGGCCATGTCTATGAAGGGATCTTCCTGGACGATCCAAACCGCGAAAGCATTTCCATGGCCGACCTCAAATCCTTCTTCACAGTGGAGGAGGAGCAAGCTACATCTGGTCGCTACAATGACTCCAAGTTGCCTCGCAATTGCATGCGTACCTATGCGTCCAATGGTCTGGGTCAAGAGGATGAGCCTGCGGATGACAACCGTACTTCCATCACAGGTGAAGAGTTCCTGAAGCTCACCCGTCGCATCTTTGCCGGTGACAGACTTGCTGATGTACTGGCCTGCTTTTGTCATCGTCCTGGGCCAGCATGCCATGTACCTTCGTCTGCCCAGCCAAGATTCTAGAGCCACAGTGCATCGCATCAAGGTGGATGACCTTCATAAGGATCTCTTGTCTGAGAAAGACAAGCCTTTATACTCCAAGTACAAGTTAGGCATCATGGAGCATGGGCCCGAATGGCAGGATGAGACAGCGCGTGAAGTGCGTATGATTTCAGCTGGCATGGAGAAGTTTGCGCCCGGCAGGGCAGAAGCCTACATTGCAGCTGTGAATGGAGAAATCGAAGAACAGCTCATAGCTCGTCTACCTCCACTTCGCCTTCCCAACAAGGAAGTTGACTCGTCATCAGACCAGGAAGACGTTTTACCAAGTCCTCCTGTCATGGTGCCTAACCTGGGTCGATTCAAGCTGCCCCCAGCCAAACGGTACAGAGGCAAAACCACTCAGAGGGGAGAGCCATCCAATGAGCCACCCAATCCGGTTCCTGAGCCCGAGAGAGAAGAGCCACCCAATCCGGTTCCGGAGCCCTGGAAGGGCAAGCGCAAAGTGCTCAAAGTGCAGAGGATGTTGAAATGGAGGCAGCGCTCGAAGAACTCATCGACAACATGCCGCATGAAGATGAGGTGGAAGAAAATCCATTCCAGCATAGTCCGTTCCGATGAGAGAAGCCTGATCCAATCATATAGAAACACTTTCACGCGAATGGGGTTGTGTGCATGTGTCATGTGAGCATCCAGACATCGCGCTGCTCGTAAGAAGGCTCGCTGTGCGTGTGCTGACTGTGTCTGTCTAGATTCTCTGCTGCATTGTGTTTCTGTCTTGCATTATCATCCTTGGGGTTCATTCTTGCAGCTGCGCAATAAAATCGGTCCCGTGGTAGTCTCTCCTGTAGTCTATCCTGTGAAGCCATACCTGGCGCCATTGCTTCTGTGACCGTATGGTTGCAAAGTGGAACAACCTTCCAGCCCCAAAGAAAGGCAAGCCTAAGCTCCGTTCCGTGCTGAAGCGGCCCGCGGCCTCAAAGACAAAGGACTGGGAAAGGGTCCCGTATGTTCGAGGCTCGGAAGCTTCCCCACTTCTTCGCCATGATCGCTGCAAATGGAAGAGATCCTTGACGGAGATTTTGACAGCGTCCCCAGCATCTTTGGTGGCAATGCTTCGAGAAGATGGCCTTCTTCATTGTTGGGAAGGGTCTACATGCCCTCACTGCCAAGAAGGGGCTCTTGGGAAGCTGATGGCTGGTGGACTGAAACATCGATGCTCTTCCTGTTTGTGAACCCACACCAGAACCATCCTAACCACTGGGGCTCTTCGTCTACACCACTGGCTACCCAAGCAGCCCTTCTTCTACTTCTACTCAATCGCATTCCTCACGCCGCAGTTCATCGTCTTCTACACATCAACCGCAAAACTATTGAATATATGAGCAAGAGATTGGGCCAGTTGCGGGAATCCTGGGTTGTCAAGGCTGAGAAAAAGATTCGCTTTGGCACTTGTGCTGCGCCGCCTCAAACCTCCAGCCTCCTGGGCCTGGAGCCGTTCGCAAGGTTGAATGGGAACCTCTGGCTGCAAAGCGGCTGCAAGATCGGCAAATCATTTTCCATACAGATTCTGCCAAAAGCTATGCCACCAGTGTCTCTGGAGTCCTGCACGACCGAGTCGTACACAAGAAGAAGAGAGTCAAAGTGAACGGGAAGTTCAGGTGGGTGGCTCCGACGTATGTGCAGATCCACAAGCACAAGGTTCCTGGCAGCAAGACGTCTGTAAAGGTGAAGTCAGGCGCCCAAATCATCGACCGCTGCTGGCGCTATCTAAAGGATAGGTTGAACATCAACCAGCACTCCAAAGTGGGAAGCGGTTTCTTGCGCATGCAATTACGGTCAGCTCAATATGAGTATTGGCTGAGGGGTCAAGACCTTTGGACCGCAACTGGTTCATTGGTCAAATGGTTCATGTCAGAGTCCTAGCGCAACGAAACAAGGAAAAACGTGTGTGAGGGTTTTAGTCTATGTATGCATCTTGCTGCTCCAACACTGTCTGCATCTTGCTTCTCTAACATTGGTCCCTGTCTTCTCTTTGTCTGCTTCGTCTGTTGGATTCCAATGACTTCAGGCAACTTTTCCCCTACAGGATCTACACTTGGCTTTTTCATATCCAATGCATCCAAAGCCGTTTCCTTGCATCTGATGCACTTCTGCTTCCGTTTTTCTCAAATACGTCTTGGAAACACCATCAAATGTGGATCTCAGGGGGGGGGCTAGCATACATATATATATATATACACTGTATAATGTACATAATACCAACCGTGCAACATGGATGCACTGTGCTCAGACTGCGTACGATAATAAGGTATGTATGATTGTATGTTTCAAAATTCGCTAGTTGCAGACTTCTACCAGGTGGTTTGAGGGGAATCGAAACTGGCCACTAGTCTGGTATCCTAGTGTTTTCTCATTTGGTTAGATCCAAGGATCATCCATGATCAAACATGGCAGATCAAGAATCAGGGCGACTTGGCTTGCTCTTGGGGGTCATCTGGGGGACCTAGCAGTGCAATTTTGGAAAAGCACCTGGTCTTCTGCGTCACCCACAACAACAGAATCAAGAACAGCAACTGTTTGCTCAGATTGCGTTGCTCTTTCTTTCGGATAGATTCGTTGTTTGCTCATGTCTATCCCAGTACGAGACTATAGGAGATTGACACAACCAGATTCAGAAGGGGCGTGTTTGAACAGCTGCAGGTCCAACAGGGAGGTCCAACAGGGGGTTCCTTTGACATCATCCACCATTACGATTATTTTGAGCCCCTTGTAAACCACCACACAAGCTTTTGGACTGCTTGGGTTGCTGTACATATGTTGTACGAACTGGAACTCAAGTCGCTTCTCATTCTCTTTATCTCTTTGGACATCGATTCCGACTGTGCGATTCTTTGTTCGTTCTGTAGATGCCCACGATGTCCGACTGAGCATCACGAGCAAAATCCCGCCAGGCAAATTTCAAACCTACGTCGCAGCCTGGCCAGGGGGTGGACTGGGGGTAGGCAATCCTGAAAAGTTTCTCACAGAGTTTTGGGTGCTGATCGAAAGGTTGGGACCCACTGATTGCATTAAAGGTATGTGAGTGACAAACTCTCAATCAGCTGCAGATGTGCGACGAAATCTTCGCAACCAGGTGACCGGGATCTTCCCGAGGGCTGGAAAGAACCGGAGAGATCTCTAAAGGACTTCAATGCTTAATCTTCTGTTGACCTGCGCAGCTAAGGAAGTGGAGTTGAAGCAGATCAAGGACTGTGGACGAATGCACATGTGCTTCCCCCTGTTCGTAATCTCTGGAAGTATCTCAACCTCAAAGGGAGGCCCGCAAGTAGAGAATGACTGATGTTATTTAATTTTGGACTTATACATGAGCAGAGCGGCACAACTATGTTTTCCGCCAACTCTGTCTGGGGTCTCAGCCTATAGTATTCAGTGAGTATTTCATCAGTGTGACCACAAAATAACAAGTTGAATGATGTGAAGGCAGGGTTTTCTGAGCAGAAACCCTAAAAGAGGAGGAACCATTGCCCGATCTATCAATAGAAACCCGATCAGGAAGATACTGCACATGTCACATTTGCAATTAAACATGTGTTGCATTTTTTGGGTGACCGAACCAACACTTTGCGGGCATACACATGCTGGCCCTCAATCTCAATTAATGTTAACTATGACAAGGCAACATCACCAGGCTCCCCTTTTGTGACCTGTGTGAGGACAGCCTCCTCACGGTGGCTGAAGCCTTGCCAAAGGGCCGGCGGCACGGGAATAGTCCCAAGGTCACTCCTGGCTGACCGGAACAGTGGGAGACCCTCAGAGACGGCAAAATTGCCATGTGATAATCTGATAGACTGATAGTCTTGGAGAGAAGCTGAAAAGAATGAAATGAGCACGACCCGTGACCTGTGAGCCCCGACCGACCAGTCCACCATTAGCTTAGAGATTGTGATACCAAGATTCCAATCTTCGCAGACTGCCCGAACGCGGGAACGAGAGGGCTCCCCCTGGACTCTTGAAACAGGAATCCTGACCGGGCTTGGTGAATGGGAGAGCCCTGCTGGCAAGATCATGTCTTCATGACTTGCTACCCATCCCAACCTTTCGCAGGGACCAAAAGAAGCCATGCGTATCGTACCAAATCTCGATAGCGCATCACATCGGGCCGAATCCCAGCCGATCAGACGGAAGGGGGGACTAGATGAGGGATTGTTAAGTTATGCTCATTTTCCAACAGGATCCGGGTAGTTGTTTCTTAAGCAGGCTGTCTTGACCATGCGAGGTGTTTTTCCACTGGTTTTATGGTGAGTCGTCATAGGACCTAGTCCCAAAGGTTAGCTGGGATTGTCAGCGGGCCGTTTGACCTTGGCCCAGCAAGACAACATCATGACACCATGAGTTGTGACAACATGACTATGGCATGCCACATTGGCAACATCAATGACAACAACCATGTAGAGCCAGAAGCGGCCACATTGGCAACATCAATGAATCAATGACACAGCTCAGTGGAATCAGCAAGAAGAAGACGTCCCAAGGATAGCAGGAACAAACAATGCAACTTTATTGCAACCCACCATGAAACCCTGACCATGAGAATCCGCACCCTGTACCGCCTCACCACTTTACCCTGGAAGGGTCGCATAGCAACCCCTGCGCCCCCTCATTCAATGTTGGATTGTGTCCATCAACAGCAGCAACAGTTACAAATGACGACACCAATAGCAAACATATGTAGTTATATATATATATATTAGTGACATTTTCTTTCAAAGTGGAACCCAGCATGGTTGGGTGGGGCTTGTCCGAAAATCCTTCTCAGCATGGTTGGTTGGAGGGGCACGATGGAGTTCTGGGAAACTTGTTCATACCATACAATTTTTTGTATACTAAGGGTTTTCCGCTTTGGCTTGAAAAACTGTTGAGACCTTATTCCCAATCGGTTTGCACTTTGCTCTGAAGCTGACGGTCAGGATCCAGCAGTGGAGTCAAAATGCACTTTTAGTTTCGGCTGCAGATTCTGAGCAGGTGTAACCTGTCCTCAAAACCCAACGAATCCCAAAGCAGAAGCTTCTGGCCACAGACTCCTTTGCGCAGGGAGGAACATCGGCAGCCGAACTCCTTATTGCGTCGAAAGGAGCTGGGACGCTTGCGACTCATCCCGGTTCATCCGAATCGAGCGAATTCCTGTAGCGCCGTGTTTGATGAGGCCACTGACACTGGGCTCCAAATTTTTCAATGGGACTGAAAGCCTCTAGGATGGCAGGACCATCGAACAATCGCCTGGAGAAAACTCACCAACATTCGATCAAGTCACCAAAGTAAACTTTGGCGGCCATTACTCTTGGGTTAGAGGGCAGAGCGGCAGAGCGGCCTTAAAAACAATGTATCGAGACACCGCAAATCCAAAGCAGGGTGACAGTGACCCGCTTCGCGGGTCCTGCCACCGGACGTCGGGACTTCCAGACTCTCCGCGTGTGGCCGGAGCCCATTTTTGAAGCGCCACGCCGACCTCTCTCGCCGAATGGTGGAGAAAGGGCCGGGGGGGAGCCAAGGATCGGAGACATATTGGGTGAAAGACTGAGATCATCCCCCTATGCCGACCAAGATGAAGGGATTAGGGG